GCTTGGAAAATAAATATGCTATGACCTGAATGGAAAGTTTACTTGGAGAAAAGTTTATGTGGAGGTGGACTTGGTCAGCAGTCAGCTACAGAAGCAAGTGGGGGAGTAGTGATGGTGCACGAAATAAAGATTGTAGAGGTGAGGTGATTGTCACAGGGGCTGCTGGTTTTCAAAGTTCTGTAGTTAAAAACAGCAGCATGCTGAATCATATCAAACAGATTGCTCCACATACAGTACTAAAGCGATACCTTTATCATCCTGAACTGAACTGCGTGAGTCACACAAGTCTCAAGTACCATACCAGGACTCCTCAGTGCATTATTTAATGGAGTTGTTTGGTGTGCTTGAGGCCACTTCTTGCTGATCATGCCTTCCTGCTTATGTTTGAATGAATTCAGAGCACTTAAATTGCAAGTGTTTTTAACTTCAGGCATGGGAGTCAATATAATAAAAAAATTGCTTCCATCATTTCACCCATTTGTTATATAATCGACATCTAAATACATAATTGACACAGGGAAGTAAGGTAAAGAATTTCTCAATTTAACAGGGCAAAGCTGGAGTCCCAAACTCTTGACCCCTCTCCTTCCCCGGGGCCTGAACCAGATGTTTATTGAGTGCCTTCATCAAGTGTTAAAGCATCCACTCACAGAGTTCTGAAGGACTTGTGGGTATTAAGTTTGTGGATGAGTACAAGTCAGTTTATTTGTACGCATGGTTGCAAGAAGCCTGTCCTTCAGAGAGGGCAACACGACTGTGATTCGCCAGTGGGGAAAATATTTCCCTAATATTAAGAGTCTTTCCATAAGGTTGAATGATCAACTTGTGCTTTTTTTTTTATATTATTAAGTAAATACACTCTACATATTCTATACACATATATATATACATATATATACATATATACATATATATACACATATATATACACATATATACACATATATATACATATATACATATGTATATATATATACATATATATATATATATACATATATATATATACATATATACACATATATACATATATACATATATATACACATATATATACATATATATACATACATATATACATATATACACATATATATATATATACATATATACATACATATATATATATACATACATACATATATATACATACATATATACATACATATATACATATATACACATATATATATATATACATATATACATACATATATATATTACAGAGTAATGTGGGATAATGTTATACATGGTGTTCCTCTGTAGCCCTAGATCAGTCTATTATTATTCATAATCTTGTTTTTCCTGTCTCTGATATTTTTCTACATTGACTTTTGGCTGTCACTCCGACACTCCTATGTATAACTCTGACATAAAAAAAACAGACATAAAAAGACTGAGATACACAGATGTACTCCTTAACCCTCTGCAGTGAGGGCTCGCTACCACTGAATCATACCAGACCCAACGTAAAATAAGCAGCTGATTAAAATCCGCCTTAACTCAGCTTCACCGTATCTATAGGAGATTAATTCTGAACTCTACCCATGATCCTCTGCTTAAGCTTTGCATTGATTGGCAAGGTAAAATTGACTATGCTGGCATGTTTTTTTTTCCCCCTGTAGTGCACTTGACAGTCGTGGTACATTAGATTAGCTGTGGAGCGGAAAGCTCAACTGTCAGATGCCCTGCAGTCAGTATGGTGAATCCTCACGGAGGAACCGACACAACAGCTGTACTTATCCTTGGTACGATAACACAAGAAGTGGAAACAGAAATGGCAGAGGAGACACGCAATGAGTGGGGCTGAAATTGTACTTGAATTATGGTCTTGAATTTCAATTCTTTAAGCTCTTTGTATGGTTTGTTGAAAGGTCTTCAGGATAAGATGACAACGAGGTGAGTTACATTAGCATAGAATTCAGAAATAAATCTGTCTCCACACTGGTCACGGCACGAGCCGTGGCTGTTCTAACACTGTGGTTTTCGGAGATACACGTTTCTGGCTGCTTCAGCGATCTGTGCACAAATGAGAGTTTTTATGTTGCCAACATTTACAGGTGGTGGTTTATCTCCCTTCTGCCTTAAAGTCCACTCACAGCACATCATCAGCTCAGCTGACCTCCTACACACTTTAAAGCCCCAGTTCCTCCATAGAAAAAGCATGGATGAGCAAGATTAATACTGAGGACTTGGTTTTGCTCTGCGATGAGACAAACAGAGAGTTTATCATTATAGGAGTACATTGATTTTGAACGCTGGCTTGACAACCGTAAAAGCCCCTGGAACAACATGGTACATATTTGTCCATCTAGACCTCATCCCCAAGTCTTTCAGTGCTTAATGACACACACAAAAACATTTTAATCAAAACATGCTGCTAGATGTTTCTCTCAATCTCCTTATGGGAACATTTGGAATAATATACTATACATTATATACCTGCTGTCCATGCAAAACAATTCAATAAGTAAATTAGGTCTTTCTGATTATTTGTATATAAATGTTTTGAGAAATTTAGCTTTAGGTTTTTACATAGGGTTTTTTTTATGTTTATTTAATCAATATTTATTATCTTTCTTTTAGTCCAGTGCACATTACAGACCATCAGAAACGAGTCAGATTTATTTAAATTTTTTTTTTTTTTTAAATTCTGATTACAACAAAAACGCCCCGCAATACTCCTAGATAATGACTCATTTGAAAGTACTGACCTAATCCTGTGAGGAGAAATGGTAACATCGCCCCCTGGTGACATCTAAAACAACAGCTCCTGAACAGAACAGTGCTGCAGTGAGAAAAGATAGAAAGAAACTGTGGACGTTTGAATGCAGTTGGCAAAAATGTTAACATACGATCAAACTGCACGGTCTAGCATCATACAGGGACACAATCATGTTTAAACAAGTTATTATGTATTGATCGTATCAATATTTTTACAACATTTATAGGTTTATAGGTATATATAAATATAAAAGAGAAGCTTGGCCCTCCCACTAATATCACAAAAGTAGAATATATAATATAGATATAAACATGTATGTGTAATTATAAATCCTTTAAACTGTAAATATTGTTATACTTGGTTTTCTGGAATCAAATAGACAATAGTTATGTGCTAACTACCTACTTTTAGTAAAAAAAAAAAAAAAAAAAAATTTTAAATAAAAAGATGACCGGAGTCTTTCAGTGCATCTAAATATGAGACTGTGATATTGTTTTTCTTGAGCTTTCATTTGCTATAGCCAGAGATGAAAATATAAAATGAAAACCAGAACAATGTACAATTCCTTTTTTATATATATAAATGTTTTAAACAAGTATTAGTATTAAAGCAGTCGAGGTGAATAACTTGTGAAATTATAATTAAAAAAAGAACTGAATAGACTGAGTAGAAAAAAAAAAACCCAATACAAATCAATGTGTAAAAATGACAAAAAGGAACACAACAGTTTGCTGGTATTCAAATTAACACAGGCAGCTTTCAAAGGGTCCAGGAAGTGAATAAAGAATGATTTTCAACTTTTAATTAAACGTCCTGGATGCGATATGGCTATGAAAGCTTCTGAAAACAGTACAAGTACAGCATATATAATATAAACACACACTTCTTTATGACTTGCCTTCAACAATAAATTACTGAAATGTGCCATTAAAATGACAAGTTTCATATACAGCCTCATTTATTACATAGAAAAACTCTCTGTGCTGACTGAGTGTACTGTTGCCACTAAACAAAATCCTGAATCCACCCTGACAGCTCTCAAGTTGGTCTTGGACAAAAATATACTATCTATTTCCACTCAGTCTCTTCGACCTGCATTTAAACAGTTCCAGAACTACACTGAGTGCATGACGTAGCCCTAAACTAGTACACTTATGTGAGCATGTGTTTGGCTCTGAGTTTGTGTTTTATGAACATGCTTTTATTAAGAAGCCAGACTAAAAGTACAATGAACCGGAACAGGAAAACATATTTTACCAAAAAATTAAAAGTATTTGTGTATTTGAATTTTTTGAATGCACCTGTGTTAGAGAAATAGTTTAGTTTTTACCGGACCAAATTGCCTTACGCTCAAAATGTTCATCACCAGCCCTTAATATTCCAAAGGGAAGTGTCGAAATTTAAGAAGATTCATCACCAGTCCTTAATATTCCAAAGGGAAGTGTCGAAAGATTAATAAAGTTCCATCCGGAGTATCTAGCTCTATAGGCGTGTGACAAATAAGGGACCCTCTCAGTACAGTAGTACTGACAGCATGTATTGTGGTTAGCGCTGGAGTGAAAGTAAAGTAATAACTGAAAGATTCCATAAATCAGTAAAGGACAAAACTGATAGTAACGCGGAGTGAAAGTGAAGTAATATTTAAAAGACTTATAAACAAAAAGGTCCAAACAAGGCATACAGTACGTTCTGATACTGGAGCAGATTTGTGGAGTTTCCATGAACGCACCATCCTCATTCGTCACGTGTGGAGAAGGAGTCTTGTTTGCTTCATTGGAACCTGTTGTGCCCATCATTTTGACTGTTCGGTGTTAAACTACAACAACCCGACAAGTTTTAAACGATTTGGTTATATTATTAAAACGGCTTAAACGATTGTTTTCATGAGGTACAAATAATATAATTCGCCATAATTGCAATCCTAACATATGCTGGCTGAGAAAAACATCAAACTTTATTCGCTTTGCAACTCTACCATATGCTGGCTGAGAAAAACATCAAACAATCGAATCGGAATTTAAGTATTTAAGTAACATTCCATCAGTGACCAATTGGTGGCTATTCAAGCAATAAAATGCAAACTTGGCTTGTTTTGTTATCGATGGTTTAACTCATATGAAAAAGAATATAATCTTTCTCAGGGACCATTTCTCTTATGATATATCCTGTAAGGCTTCCTTTCTCAGGGACCATTTCTCTTATTCTCTTATGATATATCCTGTAAGGCTTAACTCGGGGTTTTTTTAACTCATAGGGAAAGCTCAGCAAACTAGGCTAAGCTAACCGGTGTGTTAGCACATTCAATGGGCTGTAAACTACGTTATACTATGGCATGAGATGAAACAGGAGCCAGTTCTCACCTCACATTGTGTTGATGCCAAAATGAAAGTTCACGTTCGCTAGCGTAGTTCCAACGGGAATTGGGCGTGAATGCTTGTGCAACCTCAGGCTTTCTCGTCTCCTCCCGCTGCATCTGAAGTTACTGAGCACAGCCCTGGATGTGGTAGTTGTTAGCTGGTAGCTCCATCCCGCACACCGAGCTTGTGGGTACATGTCTACCTCTGAACCACCACAGCAGCAACCTAGGGGAAAGCTCGCAGTTCATGTTTCGTCAGGAGGTCAGTGTGGCGTCTTTTATTCCATCTTGTTCGTATCTTTCCCAACAAGAGAAGAGGAATATGTCTAGGTATAACATATACAGCTTGTTAGACTGGGTCTATGGCGGAGTGGACCCGAAGTTTGAGGGCAACGGGGGGCCCGAGTGTGCCGCCTTCATCACGCCCCACCAGCGCGTCTGGGAGAGCCTCATCATCGTCCTCATCTCTATAGTGGAGGTCTATGTGGCCCTAAAGAAAATAAAAGTGTCCAAAGAGCTGCAAGTGCTTGGAAAGGACAGTATTGGGACCAAGGAGGACAGTCTGGTGAAAAACCTGTTGCTGGTTGCCCTTTGCCTGACTTTTGGAGTGGAGGTTGGATTTAAGTTCGCGACCAAGACGTTGATATATCTGCTCAACCCATGCCACGTCGTGACCATGGTTCAGGTGAGAAGATGAGCTTTCCGCAGAGCTCACCTGTTTTGTTGTGATTACGTGTACTTGTGCACACCCGGAATCGTTTGTCATCAAGTCCGTCAGCATGCACCGCTTTGTCTTCATAACCTTTCTGAAACTTTTTCCACTTATGCCAGGGTGGCGAGGGATTAATCAAACAGATTACTGTGTTTTGTCTGTGTTGTATTTTACTTGAGTTTGATGGCACACTTTTTTTTCCATCTGCTCAGTGTGGGCGACCACACCCTATTGCATTATAGTGAGACATTGTCGGATAGTTGGTATTTTACATATTCCTGTTGAAATACCTTGTTCCAAAATGACCACAGAAGTTGAACCAGTCAAATTATAATGTATTTCTGCCAGCAACGTCTAATTCAACATGCTTTCTAACACCACTAAAAATGGTAGTCATGATATAATGGATAACTGTATATAAGAATGTAAATATAATAGTGCTTACAAGTGGTTAGCTATTTAAAAGTATGCTAGACCCCACAGAGGTAATATTTTACATTTGAAAATGACAAAAAAAATAAAATAAAATTTGGCGAATGAAATCTGCATATGCTTCCATATATTCCATATATATTTTAGTAATGTATTCCTACCAAACAAACCGAAGTTACTTTTCACTGTACTGTTTAACCGATTAAACCGAAGTTACTTTTCACTGTACTGTTGCATGCTAACTATTAGCTTAGCTCCTGACAGCTTACCAACAAGGAATGCAAAAGAAATACTACTAAAAGTACAATATTTAGGTCTGACCAAACCAAAACAGTACATTAGTCTTAACAAAAATCAGTTTTGGTAAAGAAACTAAATCATACTTACGTTTGGCCGCACTAACATAGAGGCCCAAGTAAATGCAATAGGATCTTAAATCTTTTCTGAAATAAAAAATAGCGTCACATCATTATAAGTACAACATGTCCACATAACCAGTTTATGGTGTCAACATAGGAAGTGAGTCCTCCTGACCACGTAAACGCTAAATCAAAATAACAGCTGCTATCGGGTCGGAGTTGTTCATCTGACCTTCATCGTGCATGATTGAACACCAAAGGTCATGGGGGAGGTCATTGCCAACTAGATTGCAATCTGTTGGAACAAATGCATACAATTTGGGGAATACATGTTATTGATGGTGTGGTATACGTCAAGCGTGCAATATGTGGTACACACTGATGAACCGCTGGCTGTGATGATTAATTGACTGTTGCTACAAAATGTCCGAAACAGCAAAACTGGCAAACTGGTGTGATTTGTTGCGCAACAACAGCAGGTGTTTCTTTTTCTTTATATCTATATATTTTTTTATATCTATGTCTATATATCTATATATATGTATGTATATATGTATATATATGTATATATGTATATATATATGTATATATATGTATATATGTATATATATATGTATATATATGTATATATGTATATATATATGTATATATATGTATATATGTATATATGTATATATGTATATATATGTATATATGTGTATATATATATGTATATATGTGTATATA